CGAACAGAGGTTCCAGATGGAGCGTTCTACTGTTATGAGTGCAACACGAAGTTCGCTGCATCCGACGATGCCGCAGAGTCGTATCCTAGCCTGGGTCCCCTCTTCAGCAAGCTTGAGCGCACAAATCCTCGCGCGTTTGCTCTACCTTCTGATATTCAAAATAACTTCGAGGGCGTTTCTGCACGTCCCGACGGCTCGTATTTTGAGGAGGTCAAGAAGTTTCCACTGTAAGTGTGACGCGTCCTGTCGCGTGATTTGGCACTAACATCACAACAGAGCGAAGAACAGTGGCTATGGCTACCAGAAGCCTGAATACACCAGACTTATTGATGCTGACCACAAAGTCATTTTATGCACGCAGTGCGGAGTGTCGAGCGGCCACAAGCGTCAAATGCTGAAGTGTGACTTTTGTCACGCGTACTGGCACTTGGACTGCGTCGACCCGCCTCTCGCTAACCCACCACACATCAGCCTTGAGGCATCGCAGCGGGATGCCTGGAGGTGTCCTCGGCATATCGAACATGACCTTCGCAGCGGTTTACTGCTGCAGAACGACCTGAGTTCCAAAGATGGGGATTCTGAAATGGCCGATGCCGCGCCGGTAACTCGGGTGCCACGCAGAGTGCGAGTGCGCAAGCAACCCGAATATGTCGAGCCCACCTTTTCACGTGGCATGCGCAACAATGGCTTGATCGATATCACTAACGATCCCGACGACGACACTGATGGCGAAGGCAATTATGTGTTTGGTGACAACGATCCCAAGGATGTCAACTCCAAGGTCTTCCGTGTTCCGGAGAAGGGAGTCATCCTTGACTTCGTCAGCAAGGTCAAGAGGTATACACAGTCACATCAGCAGCTCATTAAACTAGTCACTAACACATTGCAGTGGCCGTGTAGTCAAGAAGGCCGAAGCCCGCAAGCCCGCAGAGGCTGCATCACAGCGCAGAGCGTCCATGCAAAATTTCCTTGCGCACAACTTCCAGCAGCAGCAAGCAGCACTATCTCTGGCACAGCTGGCAAACAAGACACCAGAGATGAACCTGGGTGAGGGCACAGTTCAAGCGCTCATCCTCGGTCTCACTGTAAGACAACCTGTGGCCCACCGGCCTTGTTTTGATCCTCGGCGCTAATCCACGTGAAACAGTCCGAAGCTCCCCCGGCCGTCATCACCGCCATGTCCAACGCAGACCCACCACCGCCCACTGATGACGAGCGCGCGCAGTTGAAGATGCTGCAGCAGCTCATTCAGCGTCGACTTGGAGCTTGATTCCTGCTCAAGCACACCGGATCTGAACCTAAACATTTAGCCTGGTTGTCGTGACGCCACCGCGCAACCTGGACCCATCTGGGCCCCCCACAACACTCCTCATGCACTCAACACCAAAGATTCCAACTCCGCCATACCATTCCAAGACATTGTCGTCAAGGTAGTGCATAGTTCCTAGGCTGTCCGTGGCGAAGTCTATGGGGATGCTCAGCCGTCAGCTCAGCCAACCCGCTCAACTTCCGTACTCGAACATGACACTTGTTCGCTAACGGACGCGCGGCACGGTCCTTGCCCGACACGTCAACGATTTTTGCTCTCTTTTTTCGAAAAAAAGCTCTCTCTGCCCCCATTCCCCGTACCTTGTTTCCGGCGGATCACCTGTTTTGCACACGATGCGCGAATTCAGCGCTCGCTCGTTCCCCCACCCATACGTCTTTGTTTGCCGGTACGGACAGCTATTTACTGCCAAGTCCCTGCGCGCTTTTGCCAGGGACGCTTTTCTTTCGCTGTACCACACAACTGCATAGCGAGGAGTTTCACACGGGGTACTACTTTGTACATTTTGAGCTCTTGGTGAGGAGCTTTTTTCGTTTTATCGTCCTTGTCTTCGGCGTTCTTCTGGGGGAGGGAAGCTGAACGCGTGGGCCAAAGTGTTAAACTTTCTTTCTCCCCCCTCCCGATGTTTGCGGGTTTGACCGGTTCCATGTTAACTAGTATACTTGCGAAGCTTGTATACTGGTTTCGAAACGGGAAGGGAGGGGAGGGTATCTGGATGCGGTATCTTAGGAAGACATGTAGTTTTAGTCGGTCTATGAACTGGGTGGATGCTGTGTCTATGACCTTTCTTGTGCCTCTGTGCAAATGAAGTTGACGTGAATGTGAACATGCGGCTCACTTACGTGAGAATCAATGAAGCAGAGCAGGAGACTTTGCGGACCAACTGGGGAATTCACCGGGTTCACCATGTCAGACACGTCGCACACAGTTGCACGATAAGCAGCGAACTAAGACTCAGGGCGACTGCTGATGGCCTATCGACCCCACTTCGTGTGTATACATCAATGAGGCTGCAACACAGAGCCTTTGACCGGAGAAAAACAAAACACAAACAAGGCGGGGGCGCATGGGAACATGTTGATTGGATATGATTTCATCTAACGATTCGGTCCCATTCGTCTGAGCCTAATGCGACAAGACAAGACAATAGAGGCCATGTGTGCTGGCACAAGCGGGAGCCTGGCTCTCGTGAAACCACGTTGCACGAATCATTTCAACTCATACTTCATCTCGTTCCGCAGGACGAGAGCTTCGGGGCACAGATGCGTGGAAGGGAGACGTCGGGTTCTTTGCTCAAGGCTTGCAGCGGCCGAAGTAGCGGGGGTACAGGCAGCAGTCGCGGACAGTGTGCTGCTTGCAGAGCCAGGCGAGGAAGCGCTCGAGACCGAGTCCGTAACCGCCGTGGGGCGAAGAACCGTATCTAGAGGGTTGTATTAGCGAATTTTGAACTCACGGATGGGTGTGTTGGTGGGTGGGTGGATGACTTACTTCCTCTGGTCGGTGTACCAGTAGTACGCTGCAGGATCGATACCTTCGCGTGCAAACGCACCCATCAACTCGTCGTAGTTGTCCATCCTCATACTGCCTCCAACAATTTCGCCAACACCAGGCATCAAGCAGTCGACGCTCTCGGTTACCCGCGCATCGTCCTTGTCTTTGAGCATGTAGAAGGCCTTGATCTCGGTGGGGAAGTGGGTCAAAAAGATGGGCCTGTTGATGATATCCGTCATACGACGCTCAGCAGCCTCAGCGATATCGTCACCGAACTTGTGCGGCTCGCCGTCTTCGTTGGGAATTTCGTGCTCGACAAGCCAGTCAATGGCGTCTTGGTACTTCATGCGCTTGAACGGTCGCTCCGGGAGTTGAAACTCTGGGTTGAGGTCCATGATGTATTGCTTGACGACAGGGTCGGCCATTGTGACTTCAAGGACGCGGCACATGACTTCTTCCAGGTGGTTGAGTAGGTCGTCGAAGTTGATGTAGTCGAGTTCGGCTTCGACGTGCGTGTACTCTGCTAGATGGCGGCGCGTGAGCGACTTCTCGGCGCGGAAAGACTTCTCGATACAGTAGACGTCGCCCATAGATGGAAGGCAGGTCTCGAGGTAGAGCTGGGAGGACTGTGTGAGGTAGGCTTCTTCGTTGTAGTAGCCGAATTTGAAGAGCGTGGCGCCGCCTTCGACCTGCGTCTGGACAAGCGCTGGCGGGCTGACCTTGCGTAATCGCATCTCCTTGTAGACTTGATTGAAGGCAAACTCAACGGCATCACGGACGATCATGACCTTGGAGGCTGTCTCTCCGCGGAGAGTGAGATGTCGCAGGTCAAGTAGTGTCGCGTGCTCAGTGTCTTTTGATACTCTGTTGGTGATGGCGTCGTCACCACCGGCCGCCTTCCATCCATCGTGGATCTTGTAGTAGTCGACGTGCAGTTCGCGGTTGTTGGGTGCGTGCGCGCCCTCTGGGATCTTCCTCAGCTCTCCGAAAATCTCCATGCTGGTCTCGCGGGTCAAGGTGAGGGCGTCGTAGGTCTTTGCGAGGTTTCCAGTGAAGATGACTTGCATCTGACCGTAGCCGTCTCTTAATGTAACGAACATAACGTCCTTTTGTCTTCGCTCACGATGTACACGACCAAAGACGCGTACACGTGTGCCCTTTGTGTCCTTGCCATCTCCCAGTGTAATCTTCTTCGCGTCGGTGTCGTCGAGCTTGATCTTGATGGGCGCTGGCAGGCTCTTGTCCTCTTCTATGACAATCTTCTTAGCCTCGTCTAGCACCTTGTTGCGGTCGTGCTCTTCCTTCATGCGCTGCGCAAGCAATTGTTGGTCCTTCTCCTGTTTCTTCTTCTGCGTCTTGGCGTAGTTGACGGCCTTCTTCATGGCCGACTTGGCGGCATCCTTCCATTCTAACCTCGATGTCGCGTCGGCGCCCTCTGCGATCTCGCCAGTGACACTCTTGCGGGTGAGGAACTTGGCTGTCTCGCCGCGGGTGAGGACAGCGTATCCGAGTGATTTGTAGGGCAGCGATTCGTCGCCGGTCTGCTCTGGGGTGTCGTGACCGACATCTTCGTCGATGTAGTAGGTGGCTTCGGCCATGGTTGCGGGATTGGGGTATCGTGTGGTGTTCAATGGGTGGTTGTTGCGCTCGGAAATATATTGGGTGGCCGCGGGGTGCTTGACTCACCCCTCCAAGGCTCCGTGCACGCCTATGTGAAGCGCGACATGTATCGATAAGGACCTATAGTTCCTGCGCCGCCTCCTTATCTGTCGGTGAAGAGTCATATCAATGCGTTTCCCATTGATAGAGAGCTCTATAGTGGGATCGCTTTCCCCGTCGGCTTACGAAGTGTTTCCAATGATCGCTCGTTGCCCAGATTGAACGTAATGCTTTGGTGCGACTTGACGGCTCACTCGTCTTACATCACAATCTGGATTTAACGCGCATACTCACATGATAGAAGGATTTGACATGATGCACGTCACATGTATGAGTGCATCTGTAACTTGGTACATGGGCTGACTGACTGCATTGGGGCATTGCAAACCAAGGCCGCTGTAATTCCGCGCTGACAAACGGAAGAACTCCGCTGCGTATTGTTGATTGTTTTGTCAATTATAAAAGTTACGCGATACAACAAGAGAAGTGCACTTGAAAATCAACATAGCATTCAGCTTGAACGATGGCCGATCCAAATCTCTACACGTATGCGTCTCCTCTGAAAGGCTACGAAGGCCTCAAGCCATTACCTGAGTACGTTGCCCCTTGAGATCTGTCCGTTACACAGCTCGAATGCTCTCACGTATCTAGATGAGACTGTTCTAATCTTGTACAGTGAGAGGGCTGAGGACGGGAAATCCTACGTAAACCCACCAGCCGAGAAGAAGAGCGAAGCATACAAGTCCTTTGTAGCTCCTATAACCAACGGGATTCGAGGAGGCTTTGAGTAAGTCCTGGGATTGAGATAAAGTTGTTTATGTATCTGACAACAACTAGCGTTCACATTTACTTCCTCCAGTCTGATAAAGAGGAGGTCAAGTTCGCCAACGAGCTGTGGGAACGGATACGCCGCGAATGTAGGTACAACATCCATACATACGACTTGCATGATTGCTGATACAGTACGAAGTCCCCGAGTTGCGCATCTACCGAGTATGGGATCGACCCATTGGTCCTCACCCTCTCGCCATGTTTGAAGTCAACATTTTCACGCCCGGTATGGACGGAGAGAACACACCTCTATGCCTATGCTAACGACGAGCAGAGCAATTCGGTGCTTTCATCCCCTGGCTCGTGATCAACAGGGGGCCATTGTCTGCACTGATTCATCCAAACACCGACGATGAGTTAAGAGACCATACTCAGAGAGCGACGTGGATGGGGCAACCGCTGCCTGTGAGCACAAAGATGTTCAAGAAGACGGCGGAGACATTGTAAGGGCAACTATGGGGGCTGCAATGTATAGATATAATTCAGTGGTATCTTCCGGTGCACCGCGCTCCATGAGAGTCTCCGTGGACTGGTGCCGCGTTTGACAGAGTTTCGTGGTCCAGGTCATCGTTGTGCCTTCTTCCAACGGCACTTCGCCTCCAGCTGCATACTCTTGATGCTGCCCGGGTGATCCCTCAAGATCAATCAATCGATACTCCATCGCACCAAAGTATTTCTTGTGCGTTTCATGCATTCGTAATAGCCGATGTTCCTCATACTTTGGTCTCGCCCTTCTTCTTCTTTTTGGTCTTCTTCGCCTTCTTCTTGTCTCGCTTCTTCAGTCCGCTCATGCCTGTCTTACATGCCTCGGCATACTTTGCATAGAAGGCGTCCAAGTCGTCTGGTTTCACCACCGTGCTCAATATTATCTTGGGGATGTCCTCTCTGTCGGTGCCTGCCTTCTTGTCGCTCCCGTTGTTGTGTGCGCGAATCAGGACAGGTAACGGCTCTTCAGGGTGTGTGTCCCATAATGGATCGTCGGCGACTTTGCTGGCTGGAGGAGGTGTAGCAGAGGTACCGAACGTCATGCGCTTCTGGACTAGGTAGACGCTGCCGTGGCCTTTGGTGCGCGTGTACTCGAAAAGATTGGCGAGCCGTGTGAAGAACTGCAAAGGTCAGTGTTGAACAGCCGCTTGCCTAATTGACTTGATCGTACCTCATCGTTGGTTAGGTGGTCTCGCGCCATGGTGAAAGTCGAGTGCTATGGTGCGCGCGCCATGTAGTAGTTGGTTGCATGGATGGTGGGATGCCCGCGGCCGTCCGTGTGGAGCGGAGACGCGGGGATTCTCTCACCCAAACTCCGACTTCTCGAACTTTTTTGCGACTCTACCGTCTCGACCATCTCAACATGCGCACAGCTTTCGGAGGGCCCAAACTGCCCGTGGAATTAAGAAACCAGTTCGGTAATATGTTCAACCGACTCTGGCAACATTTCAGTGCTAACATCAGCAGACCCAGCGAACAACAATCGACGAAATGGACCGCGCAATGGGCCACCGAATCGCAAAGACAAGCGCAAGGCCGATCGCGTAGAGAAGAAGCGCCAGAACAAGCAGGTCAGACGGCCATCACCATCGCATCCACACAATGGCCGCGGACCACGTCGTGAACCCGAGTCGGACGATGACGACGAGGAAGAGGAGATAGACTGGGACAACATCGAATCCGACGCCACACCACCCCCGATAGCTGAGAAGGAGTCGCCTAAACCGTTGAAGGGCATCCTCAAAGCGAAACCCTCACAGCCCAAGGACGCGTCGCCGCCGCCCCCTAAACTATCGCGCGCCGCACAGGAAAAGCTGGCGCAAGATGACGCTGAGATTGCAAAGTTGGAGAAGAGGCTAGGCGTGAAGAGCAAAAAGAGGTCCAAGGGAGCAGACGATGGTCTGGACGACATATTCGGCGACCTTGGAGATTTCAGTGACGAAGAGGATGCCCAACCTACAAAGAGGAAGAGGAAAGAGGACGACGATTGGCTCGCAAGCAAGAGGCGGAAAGCCTTGGGCCAGGAGTCCAGTGAGGAAGAGGACAGCGAGTCGGAAGGTTCCGCGTTTGACGAGGAGGACATGGACATGGAAGAGACAGGCTTCGACGAAGACGACGAGACTGAGGATGGTTCTGAAGACGACCTGGGCTCAGATGAGGACGACGACATGGAGGATGCAGAACCGGAAAAACCAAGTGTGCGAGAGAACCCATACATCGCCCCCGTGGCCGCGAACGCCCAACCGACCAAGTACATACCACCTGCGCTAAGAGCAGCCCCTGCTTCAGATACGGAGGCTTTACTGCGTCTCAAAAGGCAAATCCAGGGTCTCTTCAACAGGCTCTCAGAAGCCAACATTTTGTCTATTCTCAAAGAGATTGAGAACATCTACCAAAACAACCCCCGAGGCTACGTCAATAACACACTTGTCGACCTGCTCGTCGGCATGTTGTCAGATCCGACAGCTCTCCTCGATACGTTTCTGAACCTGCACGCTGGTTTCATCGCTGCGGTGTACAAAGTTATTGGACCCGATTTTGGCGCGCAAATAGTGGAACGTATTGTCGCAGAATTCGACCAACACTACCAACCGAACAAAGACGGCAATGGAAAGCAGACGGCAAACCTGATATCTGTAGTGGCGGAGCTGTACACATACCAGGTCATTGGAAGCAACATTGTCTTCGACTACATCCGATTCTTCCTCGATGAACTTACGGAGATCAATACCGAGCTCCTACTGAGAGTAGTCAGGGCATCAGGTCCGCAACTGCGACAAGATGATCCAACCTCACTCAAAGACATTGTCGTTTTACTGCAAAAGTCTGTGGCTAAAGTTGGGCAGAACAACCTACCCGTCAGAACAAAGTTTATGATCGAGACGATCAATGACCTCAAGAACAATAAGATGAAGACAGGCATAGCCAATTCCGCACTTTCAAGAGAGCATACGATACGGATGAAGAAGCAGTTGGGTACTCTGAATTCAAGAAACCTCCGAGCAACCGAGCCGCTACGCGTTGGTCTGAAGGACATCAAAGACACGGATAAAAGAGGCAAGTGGTGGCTAGTGGGAGCGAGTTGGCGTAATGAACCTGGAAACGAGGAGAAGCCCGAGGAGTCAAAGCAATCTGGCAAGACTTCAAGCACCGTCGATGTTGAGGACGACGATAGCGAAGTCGATCTCGTGCAACTTGCCCGCGAACACCGCATGAACACTGATATTCGACGCGCCATCTTCGTCTCTATCATGTCTGCCAGCGACTTCAAAGACGCTCAAATACGACTGAACAAGCTCAACCTCAAGAGATCGCAGGAGGCAGAAATTCCACGGGTCATTGTGCATTGCGCAGGCGCCGAGAAGACCTATAACCCATACTACACAGTCCTCGCCCGAAAGGTCTGTTCAGATCACAAGACACGAAAGAGTTTCCAATTTGCGCTATGGGATATCTTCAAGAGTCTAGGAGAGAAGCAAGATGGCGCAGATGACTCAGATGATGACGACGACGATGCAGGTGGTGACACATCTCTTCGCAAACTTGTCAACCAAGGCAAACTGTACGGAACACTGATCGGCCGGAAAGCTCTACCCATCACTAGCCTCAAGAACCTTAACTTCCCTTACTTGCAGCCAAAAACCAAGACGTTCATCGAAGTCTTGCTAGTCACGACGATTCTGGAGTCGTTCAAGGCATCCAAATCGAAGGACAAGCGAGACGAGCGGGCAGTTCGCGAAGTATTCGTGGAGGTGGACCAGGCTCCTGAGATGATTGCTGGGCTGCAGTTCTTCCTCAAGAAGACTGTCAGCAAGACAGAGATCGTCGAGAAGCATGAGAGAGAGACTGTTCGATGGGCTTGCAAGTCAATAATAGACATGTTGACGAGAGTATTGGCCACGACAACGTTGACGGAGGATTGAGAATAAGAAGGGATGAGTCATTGTCGCTACATATAGCCAGAATACCCTTGGTTTGCCATATAGAGTAATGCGATACCGGTTGCCGGGACACTGAGACGAAGATGTTACGGAGTAGATGTGAGGCACTTTGTCAGCTTGGCGCCACCCTTGACCCTACGGAAGCCGCATAGACCTTCCCGGCCGAGCTCCGCAAAAAGCTCAACCACATCTCCCATCCCACGCCCCATCCATTGACGCCTGTCATCCCCGCCGTACACTTCACGGCTTCTCTTGGTAGCGATTCTTCGGTAGTCTCCACCATGTTCCGCTCACTGGCACCCCGCGCCATGCAGAGGGCGACGCGGCCCGTCTCCCAAAAGACATTTTGCGCATCCAACATCTACTTCCAGAACCGGTTACGACGAGGCTATGCGTCGGAGGCTGGTAAGTCGCATTACTACGAGGCGTTGGAAGAGGTCGTGTGCTGATTGTTGGATAGAGGACAAGGACCTCGTCATCATCGGTGGTGGTGTCGCAGGCTATGTCGCAGCCATCAAGGCAGGACAGGCGGGCATGAAGGTTAGCGACGACAAACATGGCGGTTGCGCAGCTCAAAGGCTTACACGGCGATAGGTCACCTGTATCGAGAAGCGTGGCTCCCTCGGTGGAACCTGCTTGAACGTCGGCTGCATTCCCTCAAAATCGCTCCTGAACAACTCGCATCTCTACCACCAGATTCTCCACGACACAAAGGGTCGCGGTATCGAAGTCGGCGATGTCAAGCTCAACCTCCCCGCCATGATGAAGGCGAAGGACACCTCCGTCTCCGGCCTCACCAAGGGAATTGAGTTCCTTTTCAAGAAGAACAACGTCGAATACATCAAGGGCACTGGCGCATTCCAGGACGAGCACACCGTCGCTGTCAACCTGACCGAGGGTGGCGAGACCACCGTCCGCGGCAAGAACATCCTCATCGCCACTGGTTCCGAGGCTACACCCTTCCCTGGCTTGACCATCGACGAGCAGAAGGTCATCACAAGCACTGGCGCTATTGCGCTCCAGGAAGTGCCAAAGAAGATGACCGTCATTGGCGGTGGTATCATCGGACTTGAAATGGTAGGAAAACCCATCTGATTCGCATGGCATTTCTAACGAATTATAGGCCTCCGTATGGTCGCGTCTCGGCTCTGAGGTTACCGTTGTCGAGTTCTTGGGTCAAATCGGTGGCCCTGGCATGGACAACGAGATCGCCAAGCAGACACAGAAGATCCTCACAAAGCAGGGTCTGAAGTTCAAGCTCAACACCAAGGTTACCGCCGGTGAGGTTCACGACGCCGGCGTTAACGTCAGCGTTGAGGCCGCCAAGGGTGGAAAGGAGGAGACCGTACGTCCAGCGCATGCATTTGTGTTTAGAGAGAATGCTAACCATTACAGATCGACTGCGACGTCGTCCTTGTTGCCATCGGTCGCCGCCCATACACCTCCGGTCTTGGTCTGGACAACATCAACCTCGAGACCGACGACAGGGGCCGCTTGATCATCGACCAGGAGTACCGCACCAAGATTCCCCACATCCGCGCTATCGGAGACTGCACATTCGGACCTATGCTTGCCCACAAGGCTGAGGAGGAGGCTGTCGCCGCCATTGAATACATCCACAAGGGTCACGGCCACGTCAACTACGGTGCCATTCCCTCCGTCATGTACACCCACCCCGAAGTCGCTTGGGTGGGCCAGAACGAGCAGGAGCTCAAGGAGGCCGGTATCAAGTACAAGAACGGAACCTTCCCCTTCTCCGCCAACTCAAGAGCCAAGACCAACCTCGACTCTGAGGGTATGGTCAAGTTCCTGGCAGATGCCCAGACTGACCGGATATTGGGTATCCACATCATTGGTGCCAATGCCGGTGAGATGATTGCAGAGGGCACTCTTGCTCTCGAATACGGTGCCAGCTCAGAGGGTGAGTCGAATACACTATCTACCTTTGCAGAACAAAGCTAACAATGTCCCAGATGTTGCCCGCACATGTCACGCTCACCCCACTCTCGCTGAGGCGTTCAAGGAGGCTGCCATGGCCACCTACGACAAGGCTGTTCACTACTAGATTCCCCTTTTTTGGTCCGGCTTTCCCTTTCTGCATCAGCGACATGATGTTCGAGCTCTCAAGCGCGCGAGCAGGGAGTTGTGAATAGTATTTTGTAGAATATATCTGATGCGTCATGCTTGCCAATTGAGTTTTCGGGATTGATGTGCATGTGATGCCCGCGGGTGGAGCCGGCAAGGCTGAGGCATCCCTGCTAGTGGCGTTTTGTCGCGTGCACGTAACGCGTACCGCGATTTGAGATGCGGAAATCAATTACGCTCGCGTTTCCGCTTTCACGCATTCCTACCCCACACAAGACGACATGAGTAACGACGAGATTGAACACCGCTGCACTGTGCTACGACAGGAACTGAAGGTCTGGGAAAAGAAGTTCGCCGCCGAAAACAATGGTCGGAAGGCGGGACGCGATGATATCAAGGCCAATGCCGAGATCTGTACGTACAGAGCGACGCCAGTAGCGCTGGTGTCCTGCTAAACATGTGCAGCACAAATGTACAAGGAGTACAACAAGCTACGAGTACGATTATCCAGCAAAGCCGCGCCGCAGACCCCCTCGAAGCGCGCCCCAAGCCGAAAAGCGAGCCTCGATGTCGAACGCACACCAAAAGCCGCGCCCAAACCCAATCTTTCCACGCCGATGAAGAGGAAGAGGGAGGATGAAGATACACTAGAGAACGTCGATTACGCAGCCGAGCTGCTCTCCCCACAAGGACCTTCCGTCATAGGACCCACGCCTCAGCGCGATGGTATAGTGCTAGGTCTCTTCGACCAGCTCCCATTCGCGCAAGGCACCCCGAGCAAACCGAGGACCGTACTAGGAGACGTAGGACTGAATGTACCACAAACACCAAGTAGAAGACTACAAGATGCAGCAAGCGAGACGTCGCTGGAGTCGAGAGCACGGGGGGAGCGGACACCACTGTCGGCCGGGAAGCGATTCCTTCTGAATCAGTTCGTCACACCGAAAAAGAGGAGGTTAGACGAGCAGGGTACACCATCATCTACAACCAGAGGCCTAGCGACACCTGCATTCCTGAAGAGAGACAATGTCCTGAGCGCCATTGGCGAAGAGGAGGAGGAACCCATATCACGTCCTGCGCCATGGATGCGCCGCGGCCTTGGCCGCAGTCTGAGCTCTATGATACAAGCTATGAGGAAAGATGAGGAGGACCAACTTGACGAGGAGGCGGACATCATGCGCGAACTGGAAATGGAGGAAGAAGGCATCGCCGTACCCAAGAAGTCTAGAGCGCCGCAGATCTTGATCGAAGATAGCCAGGCGGCAATGCCCCTAGGCCCGGACCGAGGCCTTGAGTCTGATGAAGACAGCGAGGGAGAGCCAGAACTTGGTCGTGACGGCAAGCCGCGAAAGGCTTGGAAGAAGAAGGGCTTGAAGAGGCAGACACGGCGAGTGATAAGTAAGATGTGCTGTTTCCATCGAAAGAGCTACATGACTAACAACTTCTCAGTGCGTCCGAACGTCGTAAAGCCCAAACCAATACCAGCCGCACAGACACATGACGAATTAGACGAGGAGCAAGCAGCCGTCCCTGAGACACAAGTGCCAGCAGACATAGCAGACGAGTTTGGTTCTGATCTGGATGGAGACTCTGACTACGCGAGTGACGCTTCACATACCCCGAGGAGACGGAAGGTGCCAGCAAAGAAACCAGAGCAAGCAAAGGAGAAGCCGGCCAAAGAGGGCGTCCTGAAGACGGCGGCCCGAAAGATCAAGGCTACGGCAAATGCCAATTATCGGAGACTCAACATCAAGGGCAAGGCAGCGACTGGTGGAGGTGGAAAGGGAAAGTTTGGGCGAAGAAGATAAGCAAAAGGGACATGATTTGACGATATTCCGTCTGACGGTGGTGAGATGTGTTGGAACTACGGACCGGTCAGGCCATGGACATGTCTACATGCCCCGATACGGTACTCTGGGTAGAAGATTTTCACACAAGTAATCTCTACTGTAACACAAGGTAAGGCGTGGCGTGCTGACTACCCAATCGGTCATGCAAGGCAGACTCTAAAACGTGCAAGGAGGAATGTCAGCTGCAGTATCGCAAACAGAAGTAGACCAATACCAAAGCATACCAGTTGCCAATAGTGATATTCCCACGCTGGGACAATGTGACCAGCTAGGTCATCTGCACGGGTTGGTGCCTGGCACGCGTGGGATGTCAGGCTTATATCTTGAAAAATGTTCAGATCATGGTTATATCCCCAGGAACATGCTCAGCGTGTTTGACGACAAGTGAATACCATGGCATACATTCGCTATCGTACGTTTGAAGGGTATGACGCGCCGTGGCGGTCGGTGAGCACGCAGCCCACGCTAAGGCCAGCACCTCCGACGCCGACGGTCCCCCGACGTAAACCACCGAAGCTTCCACTCGCCGCAACAAACACCCCAACCCGACCACGCCATCAACCCGTTCAATCCCCGCGCTCACCCTCCCCATCATCTACGACGACCACCAAAAGCGAGACACCGCACACCATGGCCGAAAAGGAACTCTCCAGCGTGCTCCAGCAGCTCCACCAGACGCTCAAGTCGCACAACTACCAGCAATCAACCTCATTACTGAGCAAAGCCAAGATCGCCCTCCTCAACCTCAACGCCCTGATTCCACAAGAGAAGTCGCCACGGAAACACCTGCAGCTCGCGCGTGAGACGCTCGAACTCGGCGCCATCATCTCCATCCGCCTCAAAGACACCGAGTCCTTTACCCGCTACTTCCAGCAGCTGCAGCCCTTCTACTCGCTGCCAGAGTCCACACTACCCAAGGATGGCAGCCAATCGAGCAAGGTCACGGGACTGTACTTGTTGCTACTGCTGAGCGAGGGCGACTACGCGGGCTTCCACACGCTGCTCGAGACGCTCGAGGTGGCGGCCGCCCAGGCGAGCGCGAAGCTAGAGGCTGATCCGTTTATCCAGTATCCGATTCGTCTAGAGCAGGCGCTTATGGAGGGGAGCTACGATAAGGTGTGGGTTGAGACGAAGAGCGAGAGGGTGCCTGGCGAGGAGTTTGCGCTGTTTACTGAGGTACGTCATTATTGTAGTTACCACCAAACACACCATATACTTCATGATTTCAACCGGATTATTTGCTAACACATCTCTAGATCCTCATCGGAACCATCCGCAAGGAAATCGCTTCCTGCTCCGAGCGCGCATACCCCTCCATCCCCATCTCCGACGCTAAATCCCTCCTCTTCCTCGACTCGGAAGGCAGCGTCGTCAACTTTGCGAAGGAGAGCGGTTGGGTCGTCAAGGACGGCAGGATATACTTCCCTCAGCAGGAGGATGAGTATCTGAACAGGGATATTTTGGTTACGAGTGATCAGGTTATTGAGAATACGCTGGGGTATGCGAGGGAGTTGGAGACTATTGTCTAGGCAGTGCGAGGGGTGAGGACGAACAGAGCGGTGTACGATATGCATCAAGACACGTGGGGTATGGAAGTTGGAGGCTGGAGTGTACTGGTAGCAGGCTGTGTGCTTGATCGTAGCCATACGATGAAGAGCAAGAACAATGACAAAACAAGAGTAATGATCATCATCATCACCGCTACCACCACGATGTTCAGATCCGCCGTCTTCACAGCGCCCATTTGGGGGATCGATCAATATTTGGAATGCTATCGGAACACGTCCCAAAGCCACCACACATACACTGATCACGTATAGATTTGGGTATAACAAGGACTGTCCACAACTCTCTTCCCCATGAGGTTTTGAGGTAGATTCTTCAGCAGGGAACATGAACGCGCTGAGGAACTTTTGTGACTCCAACATCGCAAAATCTGTGTTGTTGTTTTTTTAAAAACCACCTAGGCGACCACAGTCATCTTTTCTTCGCCCAAATCTTTTGATATCGCGATATGTAGTTGTTTTGGTGTAGTGAAGAAGCAGTGCACTGCTGTTTATAGTTCCGTTCTCTGAGTATCACACCCATGGCCAGAACAACCACTTATTTTGGTTTTAAGCAACGGATGTACTGAAATGAAGGACGTGGAGTCTTTGCAAGTCCAGTGCGCGTTTATAATAGTTTCCCTGTCGCAGAGCCACCACCATACAACAAAAGCATTGATGTTTGAGACCGACAAACATGAACTGGGCGGCTATGGTGTTGTGGTTCCAACATGGACTCGTCCTTCCAAGATTCTTGGTAATTTTGGAGAAGAAGGAGAAGGCGGTCTCCACATAAGAGGGTTGAGTCCACTTTTTGGAGAAGAAAGATTTGGAAGGTTATATAGAAAGCAAGAAGGACCGGCGGAGGAGAGGGGTTCTATATGTAGATCGTACTCCTCGAGGAGGGACATGTTACTTTGCTGGAGGTATTTCGGGCAGGGAACTTTCTCGGTGATGGAGGAAGTGCTATGTCTTCTGCAGAAGACATGACATATATGGACACCTATTTTAAAGGGATTTCTAATAGAAGCTGGTTAACCTGGGAACCGCGAGGGTGGGGCATTTCCTGGACATCGATCGTTTTTGGAAGGGCTTCTTGGTTCATGAAGTGTCGCATGATGACTTTTGCAGTCGAAGCTACCTGCAGGTACAGTTTGACGATATGTTTTTGGGAAGAGGAGAGAGACCAGCACATTGAAGGCACCTAGGATGTCTTTTAGGAAATAGATGATGGAGGTGTGTTGGAATGTCAGAGAAGGACGAAGTGGTGTTTATATAGGCCGCTCCTCGCGAGCCTGCTCATATATCAGCTCTTGCACAGTTTTAGTGTTGAATTGTAGAATCGGGACGACCCAATTGCCATGTATGCGCTCGCGGCTAGTTTTGAGTTGCTGCTCTTCTCTCGAAGACATGGACATGGCTGCCCAGTCGTTTTTGGCACACCAGAACGCAGACATGATGCTAGACTCTGTGAGTTTCGGATTCTCGGGAGTGTCAAATGACTAGAAGATAATTCAGAGAAGAACCAGGTAAGAAGTTTTAACACATCGTTGTTCACTTCTCAGCTGGAACATGTTAAATCTGATTGGCTGTTTTGGAAAAAGAGAGGACAGAAAGCCATGTCCTTGTGCGTCTTGATTTTTGGTAAGTCTCGGAAAGTGTGTAGTATGAAGGAAAGAGGACAGTCGAAGAGGGTGGCTATTTATGTTCAACTGTTCTCCGTTTCGCGGCCGGCCAAAGAAGGCCACAGCCCCATCATGTATATGCTGCAAAGTTTCAATCTCTGCAGCCAGAAACATGCAATTAGCGACTCTGGATCTTGTTCCAAGTGCTTTTTCAACATACGTTCTAATTGAAGTTGTTTGGAAGCGAGAGATGTTGGCGGAAGAAACGAGGAAGAACACATCGTTGTCTTTGCGATGTCTTTTGATTCGCTTCTGGGTCGATCCATGAACTCTGGTATTGCTGTTTTGGAAACGAAGAGGACAGGAGCACATGGCTTTGTGCTGCTGGCTGTTTAGGTAAATATGGAAAGTGGTGTGGAATGGAAAGTAAAGAGAGAAGTCGAAGAAGAGGAGTATTTAAGCACTTCTTGCCAGGCTCGTGCAGGGACTCCGAGCTAAGAACAAACATGGGTGAAAGCATGACCCCGGAGCACACTTCTCATGATTATAGACTTGCTTAACTTTTGAGTAGTTCCACAGCGAGGATCTCATGTAACGCCACAACCAATCTTTCGAAGCCATGAACAGATACGGACTCGATTTTATTGCCGCAGGAACAATCTCTCCATGTCCCAGTCATGTATCTGTTTTAGAATTGAGTATACGAAGTAGATTGTGGATAGTCAAAACTAAGAAGAGGGAGAGGATGCTGGGTTGTGCGAACTACTGTTCTACTCATGGCAGATATCTTCCCTTCTTTTGAGAAGAACAACGAAACCAGCCACATGAGCCGGAAGGACGGTAGTTTTGGACACAACTTTTGGGGAAAGTTGTTGGAGAAGACAAGTAGAGGAACAAGAGTAGAAGCTGTTTTATAGTCCGTCGTGGTGACTGTGGAGTAGACAGGAGACCAGACATGACAATCTGGACCGCGTCTTTTTGGAAATATTTCATCGTTGCTTGATCTTTTAATTGGAGAAGTGAAAACAGTATTCTCATGCATTTGCAAAAGATACTTCTTTCTCACAACCATTTTCCGTTTCCTGGTGATCTTTTGGAACCCTGATGAAGCCCATTTGGAAAGCCGTTCGGTTGGTTTTGGGGTATAGAACTCGCACACCGAAGAAGAGCAGCACATGAAACGATCGTGTTTCGGGTTTTTATTTTCGTGCAGACTTCAACATGAAATAATGACACAATGGCTTGTAATCGCAGTACTCCAAACCCAGGAACATGTAAACTGAAGTTTGCCTTTGGAACCAGACATATACAAGTAGGGTTGGTTTTTTTTGAAAAGAAGGGGGAGAAAGGCCAGGCACATGTAAGATAGATTTTCACATTTTTGTATATTTGAAGGGGAAGTGTGCTTGAGGAGAGGAGAGAGCTGCCATGACCGAACATTTTATAGTCGAAGGTGTGAGGTCAGAGCCTTCAAAAACCGGTTCTGGACCGCCATGGATTTGCTTTGGTAGCCCTGGATGAGCAGAGCGTATACCGGGGGAAGACTTCCATCTCACATTGCTTGTAATTTGGTAGATTTTGCGCCTTCCACTCGTACGGTCAACGTCTTCAGTCAAACACAACGCCCATCCGTCCCTTCGCCTTGTGTGCGTTCATCAAGTCCACCATCTTCGGCACCTCCTCCAGTTTGAACGTCGTCATATGCGGGGTAATGTTGTGCTTCGCCGAGAACTCTACTGCTTCTCTCATATTGTAGCAAGCTACGCACCCGTTAGCATCTCCCCTCCATCATTCACACAAATGGAAAAGCAAACTTACTCCCATTACTCGACCCCTTAACCTGATACCTTCCCAACGCAATATCCAACCCATTAAACTCCAACGGCTGCTGCGGAATGCCCACCACCATGATAATCCCCTGCCCCGCCTTGACAATCGCGGGACAACCATCATAACTCTTTTTGCTCGCTGTAAAATTAACAGCTGCATGTACACCACCTTTTGTAAGCTCTACAATCTTCTTCTTCCAGTCCTTGTCGGCCATGGAGTTGAACGTGTAGTCCGCGCCGCAGATGCGCGCTTCTTCTATTGCGTCGTCGGTGATGTCGATGGCGATGACGTTGTGGCCCATGGCTTTGGCGTATTGGATGCCCATGTGGCCTAGGCCGCCGCATCCGATTACGGCGAGCCAGGACCCGGCCGGGAGTTGGCAGTCGGCGATGCCGTGGTAGGCTGTTACGCCTGCGCAGAAGAGGGGAGCTGAGGTCTTGGGGTCGACTGTTGGTGGAAAGTTAGCTTGTCGTTAGTGTCTTGATTATAAACATATATGACTGACGGTTCTCAGGGAGGATGATGGCTTCCCTAGCGTCTACGACTGCGTATTCGGCGAAATAGCCGTCGGCGCTGAACCCTTGGATTTTGGTCTCGCCTGTTGCGCACCATGCGTTGTGTACGTTCTTGCAGGCGTAGCACACGAAGCAGCAGTCGACTGCGCAGAGGAAGCCGACGGGGTCGCCTTCTTTGAATGTTCGGGCCAACTCTCCCGAGCCGGTTGATACTACTCTGCCTGTTCCTTCGTGGCCGATGGTGACTGGGTTCTTGCCCAGAATCAGACCTTGGTCGTTGGGCTCGAAGAGCATGGCATCGGTGTGGCAGAGGGATGCGCTGCCCATCTTGACCAGAATCTCATGTTCGCGCGGTGTCGGGATGGGTATTTCGTTGAGGTGGAGCTTGTTGTCCCGCGCATCGTACTGTTGCGCACGCATAGTCTTCTTCTCTGGCATTGAACCCATGATGGCGATGGATATCAGGTATGGAGGATATCCTGGGTATGCTTCGAGTGGGGTTGTGTGACGGGAGCGTGAGTGTCACCTGCGCGTCAATGCTAAAGGGGAAAGAGCGAAGGAAAACCAGACAATGGCGACGGAGAATAAATTAAGGAAAAAATTCCGACACGTCGTGTAGTGGAGCCATGTAGATATATCTACCGCGTGCAACGGTCGGGAATGGTCTACCGCTGCATGACAGTGGAGTGAGGGTGATCATTCCCGATAGTCGAGGTGATAATAACCCCGCGGCGCAATACAAACCCCGAGACGAGATGCAGCACGAACCAGGAATGTGAAGAAGAATCGTTGATGTATTAGTAGTATTATCTCGCTCGGGCGTAACAAATAAAAAATCTAAACTGGGTATACAAAAAAGGGTATATGCTAACGAGATCGTAGAGCGAAGCGCAAGGCTTTTGAGCAACAAAGGGAACAAGAAAACGCGTATCAAAGATTGCTTCCAGTGTAGGGCGCAAGGTGGAAGACAGCCCCGCACCTTCCCCCGTCACTCATGGCTCGGCAGGCCGGATCTAGACTCCGAGCTGCCTCCGAATCATGCGTGTGCCGGGGTGTGCACCGGCATTGCTTCCTTCCTGTCCCCAATCCGGTGGTATCGAGGTTGTATCTCTTTTTCTTTCGTAACAATGGGTATCTTTTGAAAATTGTTTGTGGCGGGCAGGTGCGTATCCAATTTTTCGAGGCGACGTCGTGGTCAGGCGCTGCGAGGATCGTGTCGCAGCAACCGCGCCTCTCCGCGAAGCCTTCAATGGTCATGTTTGGCCATTGTTGTGTAGGCGACGGGCAGTCGATAGAGTGCGTTAGACACGCACCCAAGGTAGGAAGCGAGCCCAGGTGGCCTTCTTCTTCTGCACGGGCGGCTTCTTCTCAAGATTGGCCATGTAGAGGGCGTAGCTTCGCTCCATCTTCTCAAAGGCCTCTGCCTTGGCCTTTTCGCAATCAAGCGGGTCGTGTTCCCAGTCGGGGTTGCTTTCTTGCGTGTGGTCGCCGCGGTAGCGCGGAGAAACCGATGGCCAACCGAAGTCTCTGACGAGGAGTTCTGTGGGCGGAGGTGGCATCTCGAGCTTTTCATCAATAACGGAAAGGTTCGTTACGCTGTAGGAGGAGGAAGAGGAGGAGGTGGATGAAAGCGACATGATGGCGGGTGGTGAGAGTGAAGTGCGGATTGCGACGCGTAGGTAGGTGGGCAGTTGAAGATGACGGCACGGGTGAGGTACGTGGACGACGCGAAAAAGAGGCCGAGAAGAGAGCGAATGTAGAATTATAGAGAGTGAAGGAAGATATTATGGGGGTGCTATGTCATGGCCCGCTGGCGATGGGTTGGGGTGCGTTGTCCAGAGGTGCAAAGGGCAGGAAAGCCTTGAAAGTTGCGCGGCTCAGCCTGGGAGATTGCCCAGTCAGTGCACCAGGGGCGGTTGGTAGCCGGCGCCACACATTCCTTCCAAGAGTACGGCATCCTCCAGCTAGCGACATTAGATCGATTTCCGGCTGTGGAACGATGCAAGCCATGACGTGCTAGCTGCTGATCGTCCCTGTGCGTTAGATTAGCGCGCCCATCTAGAACATGCATGCACGTTTCAGCGTCTGGTTTGCATTGCCATCTATCGCTACCACCCTCCATGCCACTCTACTTGCGTCGCAAAGTCAACGTCTTGTCCAGGTTGAAGGCCGCTGAGATCACCGCCAGATGGCTGAACGCCTGTGGTGTGTTGCCCAACTGCTCCCCCGAGCGCGCAATCTCCTCCGAGAAGATGTGCAAATGATTTCCGAAACTTAGCATGTTTTCGAAGATAGTTACCGCCTGTAACAGGTACTTCTCGTTGTACGCGCCAGCCTGTGATGTCAGTAAAAAGCAAAACTTTGTGTTGCAACGCAGACCGCTTACCCTTGTCAACGCCTCGACGAGCCAAAACGTGCACATGCTAAAAGCGCCTTCTTGCCCACCCACGCCATCGTCGCTCAGGGCGTGATTGTACCTGTACACCAAACCGGTACTCGTCAGCCCGCCCTTCTCAGGAGCCTTGAGTATGCGGTCGAGAGTCTTGAGGAAGCGCGGATCAGTCGGAGATATGAAGAAGACCAGAGGCGCAATCAAGACCGCCGAATCCAGGATATCATTCGACTCGTAGCTCTGGATGAAGCACTCCATGTCGGTGTTGTAGCCCTTCTCCATGACTTCCTCGTAGATCTCATCGCGGACCCTGTACCACTCGGCTCGATGCGGACATGGGAAGCTCCTCTTGTCTGCCAGGCGCAATGCCCGATCCAGGGCTACCCACAGCATCATCTTGCTGTACACAAAGTTCTGCTTCTTGCCGCGGACTTCCCAGATCGACATGTCGGGCTCTTTCCAGACAGTACATACGTAGTCCGCGATATGTCGGACAAGGAGCCACTGATCATATGAGATGGGACGCGAGAACCTATTCACGAGGTAGATGCCATCCATCAACTCCCCGTAAATGTCAAGCTGTACATGGAAAGCCGCGCCATTGCCGATCCGCACCGGTTGGCTAGCCCTGTATCCCTCCAAGTGGGGTAGTTCGAGCTCTGGAATGTCTGTGCCGCCCCAGATGGTCATCATGATTGGCAAAGCTCCTTGCCGCGCTTTGGCCTCTTTGACACGTTGGAAGATGTAGCTTATGTAGGCTTCAGCTTCATGGCTAATACCCATCCGGAGAAAGGTGTAGATGGTGAACGACGCATCGCGCACCCAGGAGTAGCGGTAGTCCCAGTTTCGCGATCCACCAAAGTCCTCGGGCAGAGAGAAAGTCGGTGCAGCAACGATTGCTCCGCTTGGCTCGAAGGTCAGCATCTTGAGAATCAGCAGACTCCGCGTAACCACCTCTTCCCATCGGCCTTTATACTTGCTCTGCTCTATCCACCTGGCCCAGTACATTTGGGTGTTGGTCTGTAGCTCTTGAACCTGTTCAGTCTCAATTACATCTGGGCTGTGATCTTCCGCGTCGCGCAGTATGAAGGATACGGCTTGACCTTCGTTCAAAGTGAAAGCGGCCGTGACACCGTCGCCCAGGTCTTGTGGCTCCGGTGACTTCTCAAAAACCACTCTTGGGCAAACGCCGTCGGGTTCATCCCCACAATCGATCGTTGCGTTGAGCTCCAGGGAGAGGTCTTTTGATTTGAAGGTGACACGTTGCAGGCAATGTCCTTGGCCAGTCTTGCCCATGTCGACAATCTCGGTCGTATGCTTGTCCTGCGCGTAGTTGAAAGCAGGGAAGACCTCGACGCACACGTCAACTTTGCCCCGCATACATTCTACCCGCCTGACTAGCCACTTCTTCAGATCGGGACGTTCTGGTACGCTTCCTGTATGGTTGCTCGCGAGTACGTTCGCATGATACTTTTCGTCCCAGTTCTTGTCATTCGGTCTTGGAAAGAAGTCCACGACGTTCATGACCCCCTCCTCCTTCAGGTAGCGTGTTTGGAGAATATTGCTCGCAGGTAGATACTGCTGTTTAGTCGTACATGTATCGTCGCCGGTGGGCCCTATGCTGAAGTGCCCGCCCTTTTCCTTGTCCAGAATGCGACAGAAGACAGACGGGGAGTCGAAGTAGGGCCAACACATGTAATCTGGAGTAGGCGTACAAAGTCAGTATGTGGGTAACATACGGTTCGCAGAATTTACATACCGATTCCTCCGTCTGTTGCGACCATGGCGCATGTTCTCATATTTCCAATCAGCCCATAGTCTTCTATGGGCATGTAGCCATTTGCCGAGCGTCTTGAGCTGGAGGTCTGCGGTCTTGATGCGACCCTCTTCATCTTTGGATTCTGCATGTTCTCTTCCTTGCGACTGTGTTGTCGATATAATTCAGTACCGCTATTTCTATCCAAAGGTAAAGGCGTGCGAGTGGAGGGCGTATTGATGACATCCTGAAGAAGCCGCTTACCGGGCGAGCCGGAATCTACTATGGCGTCGGTAGGTTTGGACATCGTCAGTGCGCTAGTCCTGAATGGTTGAATCTTTGTAAAGACTGCTGCAAGCGGAAGAATAGAAGCGGGCCGATCAGATTGTACAGATCATCGTGATGCTTTGTGGTTGCCTCGGCCAATGAATGACTGTGGTGTGACGTCAGACGCACTTACCTCTCAAGGGCTTGACCTCGCAACTTCTACCTCCACCCAGGCAAATGCCCAGGCAGCTACCAACTGCATCAATCTCGCACGTCACATCACGCAGTGTCCAAAAGATGTTCGTGGAGAGACACTTCTAAACCTCTATCCATGGATGTCGCTTAGTATTAGGCGAAGAGCTGCAGTAGCGCTGCGATCAACATTCTAGCCTACTAATACTATCCGAACTCTCCAACTATTATTTCGTCCCCCAAAATCTAGGCATCACACCTGAACAGGACACCACCGGTGCATTTCGACGGGCGACGTCTTGTACGATGTACTTATGGCTACATTCGTTCCGCAATCAGCATTGCAAGGGAACATAAATGAAAGATCACCACTGTCTGTTGTTGGAAAGGAGCAGATTTTCTGACCCAAAGATCTATTCTCTGACAGATAACATTTAAAATGCAGAAGTTGTGGGTGGTTCATCCCTATCTGGATCCACTAACGCAGTAAGGTACCAATAGACGGCAACCGAAGGACGGCCACTCAACCATATTGGTAATGTGCAGGGCGATATAAAAATACAGTACACTCGTCCAAAGACATCGCACCATCTACTATCTACCATCTACTATCTACTATCTACCATCTACTATCTACCATCTACTATCTACCATCTACTATCTACCATCTACTATCTACTATCTACTATCTACTATCTACTATCTACTATCTACCATCTACCATCTACTATCTACTATCTCAATATCCCCACGTCCCTAAAGATCGACTTCTCGACCCAACGCAATCAAAACCCCACCACTCCGAACCGCCGCAAAGACATCATGGATCCAAGCCAACCCTCCCCGGATGGCACTTGCCATTTCTTCCAACTCCCTGCTGAGCTCAGAAATATAGTCTACGAATACACTCTCACGAACCCGAGAGGTGTGGTATGTCGCGAAGAACCATCCAGCAAGTCCGGAATATTCCGCTTCTACGCGGTCCCTGTCATGGAAAAGAGACCTTCCAAAAAGGAACGCGAGCAAGATTGGTATGCAAAACAGCTCGACAACAGCCTCGAGACCGCCAGGGAGGTCAACCAGCTTAAACATGTTTGCCGGCAACTGAAGGAAGAGACGAAAAACATCGTTATATGCCGCAATGATATAGTGTTTCCATGCGGTCCACTTGACCTATTGAACTTCCTCGAAAAAGTTCCCATGACCCTGCATAGTTATCTCCGAGAGATGACCGTATGGGAACACCGTCCCCTCCTTGTACGAGAGTTCATTGCAGACAAATCTTGGCGTTTGATCGCTTGTATCTGCGAAGAATACTACGCCTTTACCATCCGGATGATCTGGCCTTCGCTTATGGAGAAGAAAAGTATACATACTTGCAGCTGTTGGATCATACGCAAGATCGTGGCACTTGCGGTTCATGCTCGTAAAGATAGGACTCTTATCAGTAGGATGAGCGATGTTGGATGGTGGCGGAACATACTATTAAGAACAACGACGCTCGCGCATGTAGACCCAAAAATAGTCATACAAGGAGACTGGAAGTGGTCTCGAAGTATCAAAATGTTCCCTTCGCACGAGCCATTTCCGGAGCATCGGTTCAGGCTCTGCTTAGCCCTTCACCCTTTACAAGAGCAGGAGTTGGAAAAGTGCATCGTAATGATGAAGAAAGTCTTCGAAGATGGGATATAGATGCAAGGACGATACCATGTCGAATACATGGAGAACTGGAACGACGGAAAAGAAACAGGATAACACATGTATACGACATGTGGTCAGCATTCGCGAGCGAACAGCGCAGTCATGGACAGAATGCAGGATCGAGTAGAGGCAACTATGGTTACGCACGCAATGCCCAGCTTCGTCTGTCAGTCTCAGTATGGCATATTGACATTGGATTTTGGTGATTCATCAGAACAAGAGCCGCATCTAAGCGATTTCGCGTGCTGCTACATGCCAACTCATTGCTTGCCCCCATAGTCTCTGTTCCAGACCTCCCTGAACTTCTCCTTGTCCACGGCGAACTCCTC